GCAATATGAAACAACAGCTTCAAGGCAGTATGAAACAACGGAGCCTTCTCTTGATGAAAACATCGATGCATTGCTTGAGGTAAAGAGCCATTTAACCCTTCCTACTTCTAAACCATGCTACGAGCGTGAGGGAATTTTACGAATTTCAGTCACGAATAGTCTTACAAGCCTGTACTATGGTAATTATATTGTTTAATCTCTGGCAGGAGGAAGAGGCCTTAATTACAGCGCACAGAAAAGAGATCGAGGATACAATGGAAATAGTTCGTGAGGTAGTAAAAGTCATTTACCTGCTTGTTATTGGCTTATAGTGTCTTGTATTTGTTTTAACATTATTTAAGGTTTTTTTTTTTTCAGGAAATGAAATTACTAGCAGAGGTGGATCGGCCAGGGAGCATGATTGACAACTATGTTACACAACTGAGTTTTGTGTTGTCCCGTAAAGCAGCTGGTCTCGTAAGTCTACAAGCTCGTCTTGCTCGGTTCCAACACCGTCTGAAAGAACAAGAGATACTTAGCCGGAAGAGAGTTCCGCGCTAGGAAAGGCAGTGGAAGTTAGTTTGCGTTCCAGTCAGGTGATCTTTTATTCTAATACACACAAATCTTCCTTCCTCTCGTGTTTTATGAATTGGGGAATTTGTTTTTGTTTTTGGGAGGGGGTGGTTTTTAATTTGTCAATTTTACATTTGGGAGGGTTTTTGTTTTTCTGTGTCCTTGTCAACATTTGTATTCAAATGTCTTCTGCAACTTATTGATAATGAAAATGTGAATTGTGAAGTTCTTTACTGCCATAAACTCTAACTTAAATCGCAGTTTGTTGTATATTTGTAACACATTCGTGTATGTATTGGGGAAATTGTGCAGAACATTTTGTATATCGAAAACATTTGCTTTCAAGACTTTATCTGCTATAATAATAGTTGATTGCGATGAATAGAATTGGCTAAGGAACAGAGGAAAATAAATTGAACCGTAAAAGGTTTTCGACAATTTATATATCTTCAGTTAGACTAACCAACATAAAATAATCACGCTTCATCTACATTTTAAAACAAAAAAAGAAAAATACAATAAAAGGAGCTAAGAGCTCTGAGCTTGACTCAGTGTTTACCTCTGCTATTGAAGCTGAGTGCTTCACTGCCTAAAAGAAGTGGGATTTAAAGTTCGAACAAATAAACAATGGCAAGCAAAAATAGCATTCCTAAAAGCTGAAAATACATTAATTAGCTCAAGCAACTTCAATCAGCTCGTAATCTCAGAATCTCTTTAGCTGTTCTGAGTCGGAAGTATGGCATGTGTTCCTGCACCAAAGTAGTAATACATTGTTATTACGCCAAATCCTACAACTTACTTTAACTGCTAGGGGACTATACTAATTTCATATTGATTCATGACAACCAGTTTCTTGAGGCATTTAGGGATCTGGATTCTGATAGCTTACCTGACTGAAACATAGCCCCAGGCCTCTACTGAAAAAATCGATGTACTTAAGCATAAACATTCCACAGTCATACCTGAGAATATAAAAATTGCAACAAAGAAAAAAGATAAGAGTTAGCAGAGAGCTTAACCAGAGAGCTAAAGAGCGTAAGCACATACGATTATAAATTAACAGAAGAAACTTGTATAACAATATGCTTAATTCAACACCACACCATCTTGACTGAAGAAAATGATATTTAGGCAACCGCCCAGGTAGGAATTTATGAAAATCATTAGTTTTCCGGTGAACAGTTCAGTTACCCTTGTTGATTCCATATTCAAAATTCATATCAGGTGAATTTCTCCTAATCAATCTCAAACCAGATTTATCATTTATCTTTAAAAAAAAAAACATATTCCACATCGGAAGACAAGTAGCTGATCCTCCTGAAGGTTTTTTTCCTAACAAGATACCTCTTAGATGTACCTCTTACATGATCATGATCATAGCAAGTTCAAGAACAGTTACGTACCCATTCTTTTGTTGGGGAAGGTCTTCAACAAATTCCATCTCCCACGAATTAACTTCAATGTTTTTTCCACTTTTTTCCTTCGCTTCGTCGCCCATGTATTTTGCCTGAAGCACAATATCAGATCTGGCATTAGCTATAACGACTAGTATGTATGGCTGACATTTTCACAGTAGTCCAATTTAAAAAAGCAATAGCAGCTTTTGGCATCTCCAAAATGTCTCCAGACAGATTTTAGAATCAAGAAATGATGATAAAGATAAATCAGCATCAGATATCTTTAATGCCTCCAATATGTCAGTTATTAAGACTAAATAAAGAGGATAAGAGTTTGGAAATTAAATTATACCAGAGCATTCAAAATCATAGGATCAACTCCATTCAGTGAATCAAGATACAAGAGCTTGCTTTCCCTGTTGTTAATTACTGCCAAGGTCCAATGTACACCCCTGTGGATGGGAACAAATATCTGCAGAGGGCAAGAAACTGATTAAAACATAGAAATATGGATAACATCTGTAAAACCCAGGTTCTTCAACAAAATTACCATGTCACAGTCAATAAGAGCATATCCCAACTTTCTCTGCGTAGTCCATCTCCTGACAGCTTTAAAATTATAACCAGAATCGCTCACCAGCTGAAAAGTAATTTAAGAAAGACAAATATAAGTGCCCGAGGATTCATTAACATATAAAAAGGCCACAGCTTGTCATGGTTACTCACTGCCATTCATGGGATACAGAAGCCAGAGACAACTGAGTACCATGGGGAGAAACGAGGCCAAAATATATCAATGATCTTATCAAAAAGATCACTTAAACATACTGCTTATCATTTTTATGGAAGCAAGTAGCAGCTACGTAATCGAACTGACATGAGGCAAAACGGATCAATATTTTTCTTACAAATCATGTTGGCACAAAAATGAAAACAAACCTTTTTGTAAAAAAATGTATTGAAGAAATGACACTTCAAATACTTTTTGGGCTCTCTGGTTTCTCTTTCTTTGAGTAGTTCAAGGTAGACATTGATAACCTAAAAAACAGAGCAAGAACTCAGCAAAAGAAAATGTGATTTAAGAACTCTTAATTGTGTAGAACATTATGGAACAAGCTGTACCTCGTCGTTTAGCCATGAGGATGGTGTAAGGCATTGTAGAACTTCTCCAGTAATATCAATGTTTGAGTTTTCATGAGTAGCCAAGACCTTCCTTCTGAAAAATGGGCGACATTTGGTTTTTGGTTAGACTCAAAAAATCACTCAACATGCTAGAGCGTCTTAAGAAAATATACCTATTTCTCCCAGAAAAGGCACGGTTGACTTCAGCCTCTTCGTCTTCGGTGAGAGGTATAAAAGGTTCACGAGGCACCTTCATTAGATCAACAACACAACAAACATAGTGTTAACAACAATAATAAACATAGAAACACGGTAAGGATCACAAAGCTAAGATTGCAATACACTCTTATAAGTAGAAGAACTTTGACTGTGTGAACATAAGCAATAATTGCAGCTTAATAACCAATAAAGCCAACAAGAATTGTACTATTTTCAGTCTACACTACAAACAGTAGGCGATAACATCATATACATTTTAGAAAAACAATCCAAACAAAGCAATGTCATTAATATATATCCAATTCGAGAAAGATTAGTATAAATCGTGTCACCTCAACACGTTTTTCCACAGGCTTCGGGCGAGACTGACGAAGCTGTGACAACCTCTTCTCATTCAACACAATCTCAAAACCCAAAGCTTCCAATTTCGAATTCCTCCTCTCCGCACTTTGCATAAGCTTTCTATAAGCTTCAAGACTCGAAGCATCACTCTCATCTCTATCTAAAGACAACGAATCCAGCATCATACTAGTATCATCAACTCTAAAGTTACCCCCTTTCTTAACATCCGTAACACCAGAAGAAAAAGAAGGCTGATTCTTCTTCTTCTTCTTCTTCTTCTTCTCCCCAACCAAATCTTCCTCCTCATCATCACAATCAACAACTACAATCTCTTCAACACTTGAATCATCAGAAACAACAGCTTCTTTTTCAACCTCATCACCCAAATCAACAAAATCTTTATCTTTCTTAACAAATCTCAAAGCTTCCAAAGCTGATCTCTTTGCATCATCATACTTACGAACAAAGAAATTTCCGTCCTTTTCGCAATAATCGTTAGATTTAGCTTTCCCATATCTAAGAATGCCTCTACTAGGAGCATGAATTTCTCGTCTAAGAGGAGCTTTAGCATCAGGGTACCTTGAAATCCTCGAGATTGTTGGGTTTGAAGACGAAGAAGCTGGCTTGCCTGAATCTTCAGACATAGCGAATGAGAATCTTCGTTTCTTGGAAGCTTGGAAATACGGTGAATTTCGTAAAGGGTTGGTTGATTGTTGATTGAAATTGAAGGATTCGTCGCTGCGTTTACGATTGATCGCTACGGCACCCATTAGGGTATGAATTTGGGTAAAACACTAAACCCTAGAGATTGGGGAATCAAAGAAATGAGAATCATAAGAGAGAGATATTGAAACCTAGAACGTGAAATTAGGGTTCTGTAGAAGAAAAAAAGCTCAATGATGAAAAAAATTTGGTTTCTCTTTCCTTTTAAATTTAGGGGTTTTCGTTTTCTCCAAAAATTAATGCTTATTTCTTACATGTAGAAACAGCCGTTAAAAAATAAATAAAATTGGAACAAAAAAATGAGTAAATTAGGTTATTATACTAGTACTAAATTAGAAAATTTATGAAAATCAAAATTAAATTTGTTCCTTAAAATTAAAATATGGTGGGGATCATCATAATATTCTTGGTACTCTTCTATACGACGTTTATCTTTCGGACATGTCAATCGTCAAAGAAATGTTGCAGCGGATGCACTATTCCAATTAACCTTTGTTATAGATTTTGGTTTTCTTTTCCAAATATTTATTTAATAGTACTATTTAAGATTTTGAGAACTAATGTAGTACTATTGTGTGGACGATTTACCATATTATATGAAGAGTGAGAAAGCACAGGCAGATCCGAAGAGGGATTGTCATATAATGTGCAAGGTGCACTTGAAGAGGTAGAGTACATATATAAGTTCCATCCAAATATCAAAATAATAAATAGATGCTGTCATAGACATTAACATTCTTTTTAACAAGCAGTTCAAGATATACGTAAGATCCAACTTTTGCTATACCAAGTGGGAACAAGAAGACGTGGTGCCTACATTTGATGAGTACTTGGAGATTGGGGGAGTCGAAGTAACAATGTATGTAAGTATAGCATGCAGTTTTTTGGGGTTGGGACAAATTTTTAGGGATAACAAGGTTATAAATAACTAAAATCTAGACCAAACTTCGTTGAGGCTTAAGCTAAAAAGGCTCGTCTGATGAAAGACATGGCCGGCTTTGAGGTAACAAAAATTAGTTGATCAAGTGTTTCTTTTTGTTTTGTTAGTGATCAAGACATTGTGTTTAACATATGATTAGTAATGCATGCATGTGGTATCTAGCAGAGTGACATGAGCAGAGGGTTTGATGTTAATGCCATCGAGTACTATATAAAGCAATACAAATTAACCAAGGAGGAAACGATTATACAGCTTCACAAAATGGTTAGAGACTTGGATAAAACCATGACGAGGAGATATTGAAGACATCAAAGAGTGTGCCGCGGGAAATCGTTAAGCGGGTCATTGATTTTGGGAAAATGATAGAGTTTACTTATAGGTGTGGCGAAGCCCGAAAGAAGATTTAAAGATCAAATCACATCTTTGTTTGTCAATCTTATTTGTCTTTGAAACAATAATTAGTATTTGGTAATAAATTCAGTTGTGATATATCTATCTTAATGTTAATAAATGTTTTGGTTATTATGTGTTTTGAACAAATTTATGTGTAGTTTTGTGGAGAAAAGGAAGATATGGTTTTGGTTTATGTCACCTCTGATTCCTTTCTCTCCATATTGAATGAAATTTAAGGTAAAAACATTAAAATTGAAATTAAACGCCAATGTGAACCTTATGATTCAAGCAATGATGCAACCAAGCAGGGTCACGTGTGCTTAACTTACGAGAATTTTCGTGTTATTGCTTAGTTTTTACTCTTCCTCTCATGGGCAAACAACTGTAAGAGTAATTGTGTTTTGGTTTTGTGTTGGTCCAAATAATTCGACCATATAAGATCTTTTGCTGCTGGGGCCGTTAAAACTGGCTAGTACGGCCATCCCACGTAACATGGTGGAGGTCATTTAAACCAAGTTCTAGTCGTCAATGCGAGTTTTGGGCTATTTTTAAGGGTGAAGATTTATCATGCCTTTTAGAAAATTTCCATATACTCTTTATTACATGAGTTTAATGAGACAAGCTTAAACCAAATAGGAGACCCCCAAACAGAAAAAAAAAAAAAAAAAAAAAAAAAAAAAAAAAACAGGACACAAATGTAAATAGTGTAAAAGATGAGATTACAAAAGAACATGATCGAATTTAGTCCAGAATTAGATAATCAGATGGGTTTGACATGGACACCAATTTGATGAAAAAGCATGTTACTTGATTTTCCAATATAATCCAACAATCTTGTTATCAACGAGTTCGAAACTAGATGTTGTACCGATTCCAATGTCTGGAAAGGTTTGGTTGTTGGTCTTGAACCTAAGCATGGTTATAACCCCGGATTTATTTTCATAACTACCCTCCACTGACGTGACATATTCAACTGGATAATTCAGTTCGAACTGCAAATTAAAAAAGTAAAATCGAGAATAATAGTAAGTTGATCACGTACTAATATTAAAGCTTTAAATTATATAAGGAAATTGGATCAATGACCTCTTTGTCATCAAATAAGGTCTTGTTCCCATGATCATCTCCGTAGACCATCCGAGCGTCTTTGTAGTACATAAACTTGACGAAGGCTATAGCGTTTTCGCTTAGTCCTATGAATATCTTTCTAACACCTTCAAAATTACCACCGTCATCCCAAGAAGCTCCTCCATCACCACCTTTTGCCTCTAGTTTTATTGCAGCAGGAGCCAGAGGAATAGGACGATAATATGCTCCAAGAGCATTAAGACTACCCGTATCAGACCACTTTCATTAATAAGAAAAGTTAGTCACGCTCCTTCAAAGGAGACGTAGGGATATGGGTCCGAAATCCCACTTTAACCGTAACAAAAAATGTAACTTTCAAATAATATACATAAATACAAAGTTTAAGTATTATTTTCCAAGACATGGTTAGACCATATATAGTCATTGATGGGCTCTTAATGTTAACTCTTATGATTAGTTTTAATATTAATTTTGAAAAATTTAGACTTAAAAGATTGTGTAGTGGTTTTAAATTTTGTGTCTCCATTGATATATTTTTTTTTTTTTTTTTTTTTTTTTTTTTTTGACATCTTTGGATCGACAAGGCCCGATCCATAGCCAATCCCTACTACGCGGGGTAACGCGATTTAGTGGAGTCGAACTCCGGTGGGGAAGGCGGAGTCAAGTGGACTTAACCACTTGACTAAAGGCACATCCCCCATTGATCTATCTTTTTATGTTAATTGGATAAGAAAATTTGTAGAGAACTAATGAAATTTATTTCTCCCACAAATTAGCGAAATTCACATCATTTGCCTCCACAGATTTATAACGGCTATATTTAAAAATTATATTCAAATTTTACATAGAAGAAAATATTTAATTTACATAGCAGAGGTGGATAAAGGTGAATATAATCTTCTATTGTGGTGATTTTATATAGATTATTATATTCAATTACATCATCTACAAACACCTTGAAAAATTGATTTTGCACATATACTCACTGATTCAGATAGTATACAATCTGAATCATACACATAACACATAATTAGCTAATTCATATAAGGGTTATATGGACAAAAATACTTGGATGAAATATGTTGTACAAAATTACTACTTAATTACTTTTTTTTTTTTATAAAGGCATGAGTTGTCATATGTGTTGAGATTAGTTCCGGATAAACAATTGTTACTTACTGTTGGGGTCAGATTCCACCCGCATTAAGTCCGAGCTAAGACACGGCACCTCGGGATCCATGACCGAGGTGGCTCGGGGAACGCTGACTTAATCAGCTAGGGATCACCGAACCGGTGCGGGATCGATCACCAACCAGCTCGGGATCGATCATCAAACCAGCTCGGGATCACCGAACCGGCTCGAGATCGATCACCAGATCGGCTCGGCAAAATCATGGCTGAACCGGCTCGGGACATCTTGTATCGCCTCGGGAGCGGGACCCGATACACCACCTTACCCAAGCTGAACTCTCCCTTCATCCCGAGCCGACTTCACAAGACACCCGAGCCAAAGAACCAATGTACCCGAGGCGAAAGGAACGTTGTTCCTGAGCATGAATACAGAAGACGTCCCAAGGTAAGGACTTAGTAAATATTCGCCTTCAGAGTATCATTTCTAAGCAAGGCATCATTTCCGATATACCCGGAAATGATAAGGGAGAATATTGAAGGATCACCTCAAATCAGGAAATCTTCCAAGAAACCCCGATGAATAAGGAAACTATCCTAAACCCGCGATATTCTAGGCCGACTTCAAGATAAATGGAAATCTTCCGAGAATATCGTTGGGGAGGCGGTTTATCACCCCTATATATAAAGAGACTCAAGGCTCAAGCAAAGGGCAAGCAATATCGCTCTAGAATTTACACTACGCAAAGCTCTCACAGCACAAACACCTTTTTCTTACGATCAAACTCTTGTACGATCAAAGTCATCTTTTTCTTAATAATATCAAGAACACCATCTTTGGTATCAATTGATTCTGTCGTTCTTTGAGAATTCTCGCAAATCGTATCCCTAAATTAAAACCCTAGACAAATCTCGATTGTGTTAGTTTCGACTTCCACACTTACTATCTTGATTTTGATCAAAAATAAAATAATTATATATCCGGATTGAGTTCAGCTCTTAAGGCTTCATAAAATCCTTGCAATGTTGTTTTCCTTGCTTATAACAATAAGTCAATAACCAAATAATATAATAACTTTACCAAACTATTGACACTACAATTAATATATTTGTATTCACATTTCGAAAACGTGATTCCACTGTATACATACCATTCATCCAAACAAGTACTTTTTAAAATTTATCTTGCACGTTTTAAGTACAAAGAAAACCCCAAATCCATAAGAAATCCTTATATAGACACAAATGAAAACATAAGAGACAGTGAATTAACACAAAAGTTAACTCCAAAATTATAGATAAGGAGACATAACAATCAAACAACGTCGCTATGAAGAAACACAATCCATAAAGTTTGTCGGTGTAGAAAACTTGTATACCAACTACAGCGGATTTTTTGCTTGCAACATGCATAGCCACATTGATGATTTTCTCACCACAAATCTCATACCGTAGTGTGGTTGTTGATTAACACATCTTCCTCATAATTGCTCGATGAAAGTAAACCTTATTATCCTCATTACCGCATTGTTTCATCATTCTCTGATATGTATGGGACTTCAGTCGTTCCCTTGTAGCCTTGTAGTTATTGTAGAGGCTTTGAGCATTTTCTTCTAAGTCATTTATAGCCTAAACGTTATCTTCA